CAGAAAGCAGCAGGTTGGGGGGCGCCGAGCAGCGCCCCACCGGGCCCCGCTGCCCCCGCGGGGTTGGACGGCCACTTGTGCCCCCGAGGGGGCTGTCAGGGGACCCCTGGGGGGGGGGCAGCAGCCCCCGCCAGCCCCTCGCCCCCCACAGCGCCTGCCGGGCCAGCAGACCCCCTACCCGCCCTTGGTGACTTGTTAGAGCTGCCTCGGACTTTGCTGGACGGGCAGGGAGGCGTGTGGGGCTTGCAAAACGCTGCAAAATCGCTCAGAACAGGATCTCTCCATCCCGGCCCCCGAGGGTTTTGACATCGCAGGGGGGTCGCGGGGGAGTGTGGCGCATCCTCCCTTCGTCGGGGAGCGTCTCGGTGGGGACCGGTGCCGACRGCCAGACTCCCCTTTGCTGCTCCCGGTTCTTTGCCAGGGCGGACCCTGCGCCGGGACCTGGGACTGGAGCCGATCCGAGGACACCCTGAGGTCCCCGAAATAAATTTGGGGCGGTGGGGGGGTCCTGGGAAAAGGAGCCTGTCTTGTAGCGCTCCCGCCGTCGGAGCCCTCAAGATAAACATGGCTCGAAACCTTTGTAATTGGGATGGGGAAACGTGACCTCTGACCCGCCGGATACGTGTCACAACCGCATCCACTTTGATTCCTGGAAAGGCGGCGCAGAGCGACAAGGTCCCCGACGGGCTCCGCGTCCCGTCCCGACGGGGCGGTCAGGGGCACCACGCGTGACTCACCCCCCCACACACACACCGGTGGCACTTGCAGATGCAGAGCGGCAGGACACCCCCCCTGCGCCCCCTCCCCTCCCACCACTGCCCCCCGGGGCAGTCGGGGGCGCCAGGGGCTCGGGAATCAGGGGGCGGCGGGCAGAGAGGGGACCCACTGGCGAACGGAGGGGGTCGGGGGCAGTCGGGGGGCTCCTCTGCTCGGTGCTGGTTGCCATTCTCAGCCCCTCCGGATGGGTGGAGGCGGCTGCCCCCGTTTCCGACGGCAGGGAGGGGGGAGGCCGCCCTACCTTCAAGCTGGGGCTCGCAGCTCCCCCGGCCCGAGGCTCCCCGCGGGACAGGGGGTCCCTTCCGCGCCGTCCAGCCCCTGTCCTGCCCGGGAGGGGCTGGGCCAGCCCGGCGGTCTGCTCGGGGCCTCAGCGCGTGCCCGCCCCCCAGCGCTCCCCTCCTCCCCATGCCGCTCCTGTCCTCCCCATGCCGCTCCTGTCCGGCCCCCCAAACCGCCCTGGCGGAGCCCGAGGGATCCTGAGCCCGGGGCCGGCACCCCGGGCTGCGCTCGGCGAGAAGCCCCAGAGCAGAGCTGCGTGCGGAGGGGTTAACCTCGCCCCTTTGAATAACGCCCTTTCGGCCCCCTTTGCTCTGTCCCCGCTTCCTCCGCCGTCTGTAGCCGCGATGTGGCCGCTCTGCGCGGCCCGTCGGGGGCTGCGGGCCGGTTCTGCCGTCGGGGGAAACCGCGGAGCGAGGTTGGGGGGAGAGGGAGACGGGGGGCGCGGCGCGGTAGCGGGAGAGGTGAAATGAAACTGGGACGTGTGGGATTTCCCGCGGGCCTGGCAGGGTGTGAGTGTGTGCTGCGTGTGAGTGTGAGTGTGTGTGTGAGTGTGTGTGCGCGCACGTGCAGCCTTAGGTGCCTTCCCCCCGACGGCAGCAGCGACGGGTCGCGCTGGCCCCGCGCAGCCCGTGCAGGGCGGAGGGGTCTTTGGGGAACGGATTATTGACCTCGGGGAAGAAGATTTAAGTGTCTGGTTCAATTCCATAGGAAAGGGAAAGGAAAGGGAGGAAGAGGGAGACAGACAGAGAGAGGGAAAAAATATACATACAAAACAAAACAAATGTGAGAAAGGGAGAGGGATTTGGGCTCTTTAGATGGCGCTGTACAACGTTTATTGAAACCTCCCGGCTCCCGGGCCTGCGGAGAGCAGCGGCGAAGCTTCGGCGAGCAGAGGAGGCCCGGCCGGCGGGGAGGGAAGGGGGCAGCGGGGAGGGGGTAGAGGGGCAGTGTTTGGAGACGGGGGTGAGAACAGGGGGGCTGCCCCACTGCATGCAGGTGCCGGCAGGGCCAGCGCCTCCGTCCGAGGACGGCGACAGCTCATTCCGGGGCGGCAGCGCCCGCCAGGAATGGTTAAAAAGCAACCACACAAACCCCCAAAACACACGAAAAAATAGCAAAGCAAAACAGCACAACAAAAATAAATTACCAGACCCAGCCTGGTGCTGCCCCGCTGCTCCCGCCGCCCGCACCGGCGCCGGGAAGGGGCCGCATCCCGGGCGCGGAGCCGCCGCAGGCCCCGGGGCTCCCCCGGCCGTGGCCTCTCCGGGCCCAGGATCGCGGCGTCCTCGGGAGCAAAGCGGGGAGCCTATTGGAGAGGGATCCCAGATCCTGCTCCTGCCCCACCGGCTCCGCGGAGGGGAGCAGGGCTCGGAACGGAGCAGGAAGGCAGAGCAAAAGCGCCCGAAAGCCCCGCGCCTTGAACCGGGCCCCTGCGGCCGCTCGGCCCCGCCGCGGGCCCCCCGGCCGGGCAGCCCCGCGCCGGCCTCCCCCTCCGTCTCGTCCCGTCGGGGCAGCCCGAGGGCCGCCTCGCAGCCGCGGGGATCCCAAACGGGACGGGGTAGGTGCAAAAAACACAGTGGGGAGCGGGGCTCCGCGCTGCTGCGCACACCGACGGGCGCCCTTAAAACGGCCGGAACGGCGGGGCGCGAGAGGCGGCTGCGGGTCGGGGTCCCCCCCAGCGCCCCGCTGCCCTTCCGGCCCGGCAGAGCCGCGGGATGTGGGGAAGACAGCGGGGGGCCCGCCCCACCGCGAGTGGGGCAAGGAGCTGTCAAGCAGAGCCCTTCTCAGCACGTCCCGCAGCTCTAAAGCGCCAGGCGGCTTCAGTTATTTTCCTCCGGGATATAATAGTACAGCTAATAAGAAGCGGGTTTTATTTTTCCTTAAAAAATAAAAATAATAAAAAATAAAAGCGGGAGAGAGGCGAGAGAGGAGAAACAGCGACCGAAAAAACCTTTTTAAAAAAAAAATACTCCAGCTAAAAGAAAAAAAGGAGGGAAAAAAGAAAAAGAAGAAAAGAAAATAAAGAAAAACGGGAAAAAAAAAAAGAATTGGAGAGTATTTAAAACAGGGAATGATTGGTTTTAAAATGTCGTAATAATCTATCGAAAAGGATTAATCAAGCCAACGAAATGGCACCACATAAACAGCACATTGTGCATATATATATAAATATAAAATACATTTATATATATACAAGCATGTATACACCAAATTAAAGAATTACAGTCAGCCTGAATCCTGAACACAGTCTACACTTTATTTCAGACTACAGATTTCTGAACATAATAAAATCTTTGGCTTGTAGCGGCGGGTTCAGTCTCGCAGTCTGTGGATCAGATTTTTTTTTTCCTCGGGAAAAAGAAAAAAAAAAGAAAAAAGAGACAGAAATTCACACACACACAAAAATAAAAATCAAACGAAAGATCAGGAAAGTGACATTTACTGTAAAGCAAGAGCAACGAACATCGAAAGGGAAAGGAAAGCAAACAAAACAAACGAACAAACAAAAGAGACGAGAAGAGAGAAGGGCAGAGAGAAACTGTCCAGCAAATAGAGATCGCTACACATATTCCTTACCTGAAATTAAATATATACAAGGTCATATGCTGTTTGGCTATATAGAGATTTTTTTTTGTAAGTGTTCATATTATTATTATTAATTTTTTTAAGTGGAGTCCTTATACTATGGATAGACAATAGATCTGGTTTTAAATAGCACCTGTGCGCGCAGGGCTCCGCGGGGCGCCTACTCGCTCTCCTCTTTGTCCTGCACCGTGGTCGTGGAGTGGTTGTAGAGTCCCTGGGCCATGAGGTGCAGCGCCAGCCCGTTCTTGATGCCCGTCGCCTTCTTGATCTTGGCGCGCTTGTTCTGGAACCAGATCTTGATCTGCGACTCGTTGAGGCTGAGCTCCTGCGCCAGGCTCTGCCGCCGCTGCTCCGTGATGTACCGGTTGGCCTGAAACTCCGCCTTGAGCCGCTGCAGCTGCTCGGCCGTGAAGGCGGTGCGCGGCCGCTTGTCCTCCTTCTCGCTCTTCTTCTTCTTCAGCTTCCTGGTGCGCGGGCCTGCGGGCAGGGCACACACGCGCCGCTGGGCAGGGCCGCGCAGCGCTCCGCGCACCGCGAGCGCGGGGGACGGGGGCAAAAGGGGACGCACCCCCCGCCGCCCCGGCCCCCTCGGACGGGGCACGTTGGGGCCCGGCTCTTGGAGGGCTGGGGCGTGCGAGGATGCGCGGGAGCGGAGCGGCCCGCGGCAGCGCGGCCCGGGCGGCAGCGCGGAGGCCCCGCGGCTCCCCCGGCCTGGCCGTAAGGAGGGGACGGAGCTGCACGGGGGGCTGCCCATGGCCCCCGCCTCCCCCGGCCGCCGCCGCCCCGCTCGGAGCAGGCCCGGAGCCCCGCGGAACGAGGAGCCTTCCCGGAGGGAAGCGGGAGCCCCGCGGCCGCCAGCGCGGAGCCGCCGCAGCGGGACCGGGACCGGGCCGGGAAGCTGCGGGCCGGGCCGGGAGGCGGCGGGCCCGGTCCCGCACAACAAAGAGCAGCCGCTGCCGTCCCCGCTCCGCGGGCCGGAGGCTCCTGCGCCGTCCCCACGAACGGGCAGGGCAGGCGCGAGTGCGCGGCGCCCGGCGGGACGCGCGCGGCCGGCAGCGCGGCCCGCGCCGTGACAGCTCTATCAGCCGTCAATCAGGGCCGTCAATCAAAGCGGCTTTTCTGGSTTTCAAGGAGCCCGACGTGTCAATAACGACGAGCGAGGCGGCTCGGGCCGCGAGCGCCGCACGCACCGGCCGCCCGGAGCTGCGCGGGGCCTACGGGCCGCAACGGGCGGCACCGGGAGCGGGACCGGGCCTCGCTGCGCTGGCAGCGCCTCCGGACCGGGCCGCACCGGCCAGCGCCGCGTCCCCCCGGAGCGCCCGGCCTGCACCAGCCCAGCGGAGCCGGCCCTGGCCCTGCCGGCGGGCGCCTGCAGCCGGCCCGGCATCGGGGCAGCGCCTCTTCGCTGTGCCCGTCATTATGTGTATATATATATATATATGTATACATACACATACACATGCACATAGATATATACACACACACACACACATATATACACACCATATATAAATAACTAGAATTAAAATAGTAACAGTGATAAAATAAAGGGCCTGGCGGTGTCACTTCAGGGGAAGGGGAGGACAAGCCCGAGGCGAGAGGCAGAGCGAGGGCTGGGAGCCCAGAGCCCGCAGGGCGGCTCGTCCGGGGCTGCCCGCGGCCGGACACCCCCTGGGCCGCCCGCTCGGCTGCTCCGCGCGGCCTAAGGCCGGGCCGGCTCCGCCGCTTCCCTCCCCGCGCTCCCCCGGCCGCCTGCATTATAAAAATAAAATAATACTGACCACCGCCCCCCCAGCACTTCCAACACGGGCCTGAGATCTCCCTCTGCACCCCCCTGCAGCCCCTGCACGACCATCGGCTCGCAGGGAAAATAAAAACAACAACAACAAAAAAGAGAAAGGTTGGAAAAGCGAACGAGCAGCAAAGTCTGCTGCCCTTCCTCGCCGTTGCTGCCAGGCCGCTGCCGCGGAGCCCCGGAGCAGAGCGGCGCGGGAGGGGGGCAAGGGACAGGGATCCACCCCCCAACCCCTCCAGCTCGCCCGACTTGAATGCGGAGCCGGGCCCGGGGTTGGGGACCGGATCGGGACCCGGCGTCACTTTCAAATTCGGAGAAGTGCGGGGGGGGGGGGGGTGCGTTTCCTCTCGCCCTGTGTGACCCAGGACCCCTCTTCCTCTTCCCACCCGAGGCCAAGTCCTCGGCCGGCCGGGAGTCAAAGCGAGGCGGGGGAAAATGGGGAAAAAAAAAAAAAAAAAAAAAGAGACGGGGTTGTGGCACGAGCACCCTTGCCCGGATCTTGCGCGCTCGCTTACCCGAGGACGGTCTGTCCGAGTAGCGCGTGCAGTAGACCCAGGCGGGCCACACGAGCGGCTGCTGCGAGTCGGGCTTTATCCCGGGCGCGGCGGCGTTGGAGCCCATGAGGAGGATGGCGGGGCTGCCGTGCTCGCCGTACTTGGGCGCGTGAGTGTCGCCGTCGGGCGCGCGGGCGGCGGGGCTG